TGGAGAGAGAAGAAAGGTAAGACAAAGGTCTTTCAATGAAACCTCGAAGTAGAAGTGATCTCTTCATCCTTAAATTTCTCACAGCACTTTGTTTGAATCTCTCGTTCGTCTCTGTAATGACAGTTGTTTGTGAACATGTCTTATCGCTTCTATTAAGTTGTATGACCACTGAGGGTAAGGACTGTTCTTTCTTTACTTTTTTTTGTAGCCCAAATACCTAGAAGGAGCCTAACAGACATTTGTTGAACAGAAATATTTACTGAAATCCAACAATACCTAAAAAAGGAGCCTTCAAACCCTCTTGTCAGCTAGCCTGTCTCAGAAATGTACTATTTCCAGAACACAGCATTTTAATTTACCAACACTCAAGCACCTTTTTTGCAAAAAAGGATAACTGCAGTTTTATACTTCAACTAATCAATTAACAAGCATTTATTAAGTACCTAGTGTGTGCCAGGTTGGGGGGGGAGAGGAAGAGGGGAATGGTAAGGGACAACACATGAAGGGACATAGAGATAAAATAGGGACAAAAATAAAGCAGTGCCTGCTCTCAAGGAGCTTACATTCTATCAAATATATTTAAATAGAATCTTAGGTTGAGGCTTTTCTGTATTTATATACATTTAAGAAAACATTAACTTATATTTGTTGACACTCTCACACATCTGTACTTTATACTCAAGTTGCTTTATACTCATGCAACTGAAATTGTTCCCAGATTTAAAACTCCAAAAGGATAATGACCTGGATGAAACTCCTGGTTCACCAAAGACACAAAAATCATCTCCATCATCCCAAATTTTACTTGAGCCTTTTCTACTGCCACTGGTTTGAGATTTATTAGCATGACTCTTGCCACCTCGCCCTCCTCCTCCACCTTTTCCACCACCTCTTCCACCTCCTTTGTTTGGCTTTCCTTTTCTTCTCACAAAAGAGCTCATTTTTACCTAAAAGGAGGGAAAACAAAATGAATATTATTTTAAGGCTTCTTACTATAAGCATCTGCATAATTTATTTACCTAAATTACATGTATGCATTGTTTTATCCAAACCTGAAATAGGATTCGCCAAATGATTCCTATTAAGAAAGCTACCCTAAAATGCTTTAAAAAATTAGATTTACAAACTTTAATTTCCATATAACTTCTCAGAAATAGAGATGCAACATGGCTTTGTGGACATAGAGATGGCTCTGGGGTCAGGAAGACCTGAGTCCAAATCCCATGTCAACATATACTGGCTGTGTAACCCTAGGGTAAGTCACTTACCCTCTTGACGTTCAAGGCAGCTAAGACTAGGTGTCAATCTGCATTGGTAGAAGGAGTTTCCTCATGTAGGAGTTCCCTATACCAAAGAAATTGCATGTTCATTCCTCATATCTTTTCATAAACATATTTACTATATGAAAGACATGTAAAGTAGACATTCTCCCCAAATTAGAAATAAGTTAAAAGTAAATTTCACAAGGATATTTTTATTATTTCCTACCCTGAAAATTATTTTATTCCAAAATCATCTTAAAGAGTTTGCTGAACTTTAAGACAGCCATCTCACTGTGTTTACGGTCTACTGACAGTAACAAAATCATACGCTATGGACAAAAACACTTTCATCTGCAATCTTTACCATATTCACACCCACTGTATTCCTAATTCCAAAGTTTTAAAATGTCATAACTAAAGGAAAATAAAGTCACCCAGATTTAAGACTCAAGACCATTTTTCTGCTGCAGAGCAACAACCCCATCAACCCACATGAAAATTCCTATTACAAGAGACTTCTGGCTCCAGTTTGTAGCCTCAGTCCAAGAACAACATGAAGATGGAGTAAAATTCCCTCACCTTCTTTGCAAAGAGATAGACATATTCAAATCACACAAAGGTAAGGTCAGGAAAAGCTCCAAAGCAGCAAGCACTCAACAATGGGATTCTCTGATTTTTATAAAGACAATTTATCAATCCCCCAAACTTCATTCTTCTGGTCAAAAAAAAAGGTGGGGGAAAAAAGCCTTCTGAAACTGACTTATCAGCTCTATACATCAAGAATTCCTCTACTGTCCATTTGTATTTAAACATAAAGCATTAAGTAAAGCAAGCAGGTGCTATACAATAATGTGGACAAGGAATATGATCAAAAGGGATCATAGAATGTGATAGAAATATACATAGAAAAATATTCCATTTACAACCTAAACCGAGATCTCACTTCAGCATGTCAATCATGGATAATATACTACCAGTTTTTGTTCTTATTCAGCCAGCATATCAATTAAGTTCACTGTGCCAAATTTTATACTAATAGAAGGTTAACACTGACCATAAGTTTTGATAAAAACCATCAAACTGAGGAATAAGACCAATGAAAAGTGTGTGCTTTCCTTCTGTGGGGCCTGTGGATTTACCAACTATGTGGATTTCCATTCCTGTGGTACATGAATTGCCATTAGGCAAGCTGGTTGTAAAGTGGATAGAATAATAGGAGTCAGGAAGATCTGAGTTCAAATGTGGCCTCAGACTCATACTAGCTAGTGTGACGGGGCAAGTCACGTAACCACTGTTTGCCTCAGTGCCCTGAACTATAAAATGGGGATAGTAATAGTACCCACCTCCCAGGACTGTTGTGAGGATCAAATGAGATACTACTTGTAAAAATGTCTGACAGTGGCCGGCACACAGTAGGCACTATATAAATACTTATTCCCTTCCCTTCTACCCTACCCCTGTTACCACTGCTAAAGTTAACACAACAAAGGGGGTAAGATCTCAGAATCAATCAGCTCCTTTAGCATTATCAGTCGCAGTGTTGCGGTAGCATTAGTCTGACCACTGCTTCCCAAGATTCAAAATCAAGATCCTGGACTTATCATAGGATCCAGAGATTATAGATTCAGAAATGTAAGGGCCCTTGGAAGTCATTAAGTAAAATCCCTCATTTTGCCGATGAGGAAACTGAGGCAGAGGGAGGTGAAGTGACTTGTCCACAATCATACAGCTCATAAGCATCTGAGGCAGGATTTGAATTCACATCTTCCTCATTCCAGGCCCATACTCTATCCAATTTTCGACCAGCTGCCCCAAAAGCTCTGTCCACTGTGTCACCCTGATGGTAGGCACTATCTGCATTGCCTTTGCAAGATCAGGGTGATTTGTTTCAAGTACTCCCAGCCCTTCACCCCACCCCCCCTTCCCTATGATTTATTTGGTTTCCCAGGAAACCTCTAGGTATAGCGCCTCAGAGCTACCAGAGCTTAACTCTTGAATCTGTATCCCTAGAACAGTGGCTAATGGCAGTATCTTCTGCATTGGGATTCAAGGACGCTGCTACCCAAGACACTGATGGAAGTCCACATTCTGGCCTTTTGAAATTCACAAAGTCGTCCTCTGATGGAGGGTTGGGAGTAGAAGAGTGATCCTCCTACTCCCAAATGAATCCCTTTCAGGGGCCTGGCCAAAGCTGTGCCATCACTAGGCTAGCCTACTATTGGAATGCCCAACTCCAAATTAGGTGGCCTTTATATCTAAAGCTTCACTGGGTTTGATTAGATCTCTTCAATCAGCCACAAAACATTTCCTATGTAGTGCCATCTGCTTTCATTCAGTGACTCAAGTATTCCATTTTCTCCAAATTAATGCTTTGTCTGTACTAGTTTACACCACTGAGAGGTTCAACAGACGTGTCCAAGAATTGTTCATACCTAGTTCATGCCTTTGACTGATTCTGTAACTCATTTAATAAAGTGAGTTAATTAGGGTATAGAGCATCTTGGCAGTGGCATTAATTGGAGTTTTGAGGTGTCACACTCTTCTCACACTGTACATTAACTCTCCCCACACATTACCTTCTCAAATCCTTCCTAGACTGGGAAATAAAGAGCTATAAATACACCCTATAACTCACATATAGATACTATATTACCCAATCTATTTTAATCAGAGTGTCAGATTCACATTACATTTCTTACATTCTAGACACAAAAGGAAAAGACCTCGAATCGTTAGGTTTTTGCATAAGAAATTACCTTTTAAAATATGTTCTGCATGACTTCACATATACAATGGTTATCATATTGCTCACCTCCTCAATGAGTGGGGGAGGGAGAGAATTTGGAACTCAAAATTTTAAAAAAATAAATGTTTAAAAAAGAAAGATATTACTCCTTAGGTTCATATCTAGGCTTGGTCTACCATTATCCCTTATCTGGGGGTGGGGGTGAGGGGTGGTTAAAAATTATTTAAACCAATCTCTTAATTTTAAAGACAAAGAAGCTAAGATTGGGTGTTCAGTGTGTGAAGTCACCCAGTGAGTGGCAGAACTGGCATTGGAACCTAGATTTACCCACTCCAAACGCAGTGTTCTTTCCACTGCTCCTACGCCTTTCTATCCTCGCTCCCTTCCTCGTAATACCCCTATATTTCTAGGCACATGGTGGAACGCCTTCCACATCTGCCTCTCCTCCACCCGCCCCTCCCCTCTCTCCCAGGATCCCATTTCCACTCTTCTCAGGATGGAGATGACCATCCAGAAAGCCCAGCTTTACCTTACATCTGCCGGAGAACCCCAGCCGGTCAGCAGGGACCCTCGGTTCCCCTTCATCCCACACCACCGAGATCCTGGCCCCTCCCCACATTCCCCCCCCCCCAGAAAGGGACGCCACACCGCACCCCCCGCCCCAAGACCGGCAGCGACGGCCCGCGACCAAGCGCAGGCTCAGACCCGACAATCCTCCGCCCTCCCGAGGTCGAGCGGCAGCGCCCACCACCTGAGGGCTGCTGCGGCGGCAGGAGGCTAGTCTCCCTATCCGCTTACCTCGACCCGGTCGCGGGAGGAGGCAGACGACCCGATGCCTGAGGCTGTCCGGGGCCAGGACCAGCCTCGGATAGGCCGCTCTCTCCCGGCGGTGCTGGTCCAGCCCCCTCACGACTCCGCTGCCTCCTGATTGGCTCCTCCGCGGAGGGCGGTGCCTTGGCACTTCCACTTCCGGGTAAGAAGTGGGGGGGGGGAGGGAAGGGGAAAGAGGGAAGGGGCGTCTCCCTGACGACGGGGGCGCGCGTCCGACCGGACTTCTCCCCGAGTGTAGCCAGTTTGAGCCCGCACCGGGGGCGGCTCGGTGGGCTGCGGGTGTGGGGAGGGGGGTGATCTAGTAGCCGCCGCCGCCGAGCGTTCAGAGATCTGTGCCCCTCCTGAAAATGAACGAGGCGTCGGCAGAAGAGTTCAAAGGTGGCCGGGGTGGGGGCGGGGGCTGCCCCTACCTCCAACCTTCCCCCTATTTACCTCGTGACAGTGGACAAATCGCTGGACCGCCCCGGGCCTCAGTTTCCCCATCTGTTAAATTGAGGCAGGTGAAGTTGGGCTAGATGAGGGAACCCTTCGCTGCTACAGGTTCCACGACCTGTAGTTGCCATATTTGTAAAACAGAGCCAGTTGGACCGAGTAATCCACCGGGGGGGGGGGGGTCCTAGTTGCTGCGACCACTCCTCCATGGGCCTTCTGTTTGCTGGTGTGTCCGTGGGGTGCCCAGGAAAGGGTGTGCCAAGGCTGAGTGGCCGCAGTGCCACCTGAGAACCCGAGGGGTATCATGGAGTCATAGATTTGGAGCCAGAAGGGCATCTAATCCAATCCCCTCGTTTCCAGAGGAGGAAACTGAGGCCCAGAAAGGTTGAGCCGTCTTGCCAAGGTCACACACAGGCAGAGGTGGAGCACAGCTGGAATTTGAATCCACAGTCTGTCTCTGAATACATTCTTCCCAGTTGTACCATGACATCTCCAAAATACAATCACTTTAATTTTAAAAAGAATGCATACTATGCTGAACTGTTAGGGGTGGGTAGATTGTGAACTGGAGCATACAACTGTGAAGATGTTTGGAGTCACTATGGGTGCAGAATGAGGTGGGAATTAGGGAAAGAAAGGAAAGGTGGGGTGGTAAGGCCTTGTGGTGAAATGGAAAGAGAAGTGAAGGTAGTGTGATGTAATGGAAGAGACCCTGGACTTGTAGTTAGTACCTGGGTTAAAATTCTGTATGATTACCACTGTCTGACCTGAGGCAAGTCATTTAGTATCTCTGGGCCTCTGCTTCCTCAATTATGGAAATAATGAGGTTGGACTAGAAGACCTCTCAGATCTTTTGCAGCTCTGCATTCAGTAAAATAGTTGGGGAAAGGGAGTTGTGCTCAGAATATCCCAATATATAGCCACCCATCTGTTAACAAAAGCTCAGCCTAAGCCTCTGTTTCTAATATTTTCCACTCTACTTCTGTGAGTCTAATCAGGAGGACACTTTGCAGGTGGTTTTGTCATAGATCTCAAATGAAACTTTGAAATTGTATAGATATGTAAACAAAAGGCAAGAGACTTGAAATAGCTTGATGGATGACTGGAACCTAGGTGAATGTGTTGCATTGTTTCTCTGCACTAGCCAAGTAGATAGCAAAGACCCTCCAAGTCATTGTGATATTGCTATGATAAGGTATAGTGGGTCAATTTGTGCTAATTGTGATATATCTTGTGATAAGAAATTCTTCAAGCATAAATAATATTTATTCTTTTTGAAAACAGATCCAGAAGTATATAAAATATACTATATATTTCCAAATGGAGACAAATACGGTAAGAATTTCTTTAAGTTGCTTTTTATGTAAGTAAATATTAAATGACAAGTAAAAACTGAGAGCCACATTTTTTGTAACACTTCTATTAAACATTTTAATTCTTAAACATGATGGATTTCAATAGCCCCTAAATTAATCACCTAGGAGCCAGTCTTTTGGAACATAAAGCGCAAAAGTCAGAGTAGAAGATTAAAAGGTTTTTTGTTTGTTTGTTTAGTATGGTAGAATATAGTAAGTGGTTCCCAGTCTTAGGAGTTGGATTATTACAAATGATCTGAAAATCCATACGTGCATCAAAAATTATCATTTTATCATATATTGGCACAGTGATTAGAGTGGAAAGACTTGAAGTAAGGAAAGACCTGAGTTTGAATACTGCCTCAGACAGTAGCTGGGTGTGACCCTGGGCAATATCTCTGTGCCTTACTTTCCTCATCTGTAAAATGTGGGTAATAATAGCCTCTATCTCATAGGATTGTTGGATGTATCAAATGAGTTCATATTTGTAAAGTGCCTTGTAAAACTTAAAACCCAATATAAGTGCTAGTATTATTATCGTTACACAACTAATATCATGTGAGGGTTTAAAATGTTTTTGCCATTAAAAAGGGCATACCCAAATAGGAACCCCTTAGGTGGAAAAAGCACTGGGCTTCCAGAATTTGAGCCTTAGCCTCTGACACTGACTTCATGACCTTGGACAGATCACTTCATACATCTCAGACCCATGGGACAGAGAGGGCTAGAAGAGGTTCATCAAAGTACAAAATGCACATTCTGCTAAAACATTTTACTTTTGCATCCAATCTTGGATATTTTTCTTGTTTTAGAGGGTGACTGTACAAGAATATCTCCTGGAGTCTTTGAAAGAAATGGAGCAGGGGTTCATACTACCCCCAACGGAATAACCTATATAGGGGCCTGGAAAGATGACAAAGTAATACAAGTTCTTTTCACTTTTAATCAGTATGTTATTATTAGTCTAGTAGTCAGAATGGGTAAATAATCCTAGTGTGTGGAATGCTACATGTGATAACTAAAGCTTAAAGACAATTGAACTGTATAGTATATGGCCACAGACACACATAAATGCTCTCAAGAAAGGTGTTGTCCTATTTTTGTGAGAGGTAAAATAGAACTGGAATAATCTGCTAATCTAATTGCTGAAATTAAGCACAAACTAGATTAAACTAGCACACTTGGGTAGATGACAGACTTGTATCTGTACTAGATGTAGCACTCCTTCTTGGGGCACTCCCCCAACCTATACTGACAACTGGCTGGCCGAGTCGGAAGAGAGAAGCTACTCCTTACTGCTTTCAGTTTTCTATCCAGTAACGCTGACGGAGTGTGGTTTCCAACTCTGTCCTGAATTTTCCCCTCTTATGTGCTCTTTATTATCACTCAACTAATTGAAACTCCATTAGCTTTGGACTTACTGAGAGGGTAGATACAGAAGAATCGAGGCAGAACATTCCCTTTAAACCTGAGGCACACACCTCCTTTGTGTTCCCAAAGTCCTGCTGGAAATACAGATTCAAACTTGAAATGCAGTATTAATGAGGTACGCGTATTACAGAACACATGTGGCCAATGTGTATTGGCCTGGTGCTGGAAGTCACTTTCTCCTTTGTGGAGTTCTCATGAAATTTCCTCTAGGTATCTATAGCCACTACTCTTTCTCTAACTAAGGCTCACAATCGGTCTCTTTTTGCACAGTCAGCCACCACCACTTTAGGGGTTACCGCTCCTGCCTCTGGTTGTAGGTGGGATCTCTGATGGGACCTCTCTGTCTCTGGAGCTTGCCAGGTCACTTGGCTATTCCCGTTTCAGAATACTCCTAAGATGAGGAAAGAATAAACACAAATGGAACCAAGGCAGTGACATGTGGCATGCAGGCTGAGGAATGAGGCCAGGTTCCCCTCCCCCACCTGACACCTCCAAGTAGCTGCCCTTCTAGGAAAAGAGATTGGGAGAGGCCTGGATCACAAGCTTTTTTGTGCAATTTTAAATCAGCTCCTGAATCATCATCAGTTTTTCCAGTTCTGAAGCCAATTAGAAGACTTGGCTGAAAACGAGCTCTCCAAAGTTTGCATGTGGTTTCATTTGAAGCAGACAAAAAGTACCTGAGCATGCTCTAAGGCCTGGGTCCTTGGATGTATTTTTTTTTTAATAAAAATTTTATTTGTATTTCAACATAATTGTTTTCCCTTGTAATGCTATGTATTTTATGCACCTAAAAACTTTGTTCTGAGAAGGGATCTGTAGACTTCTCCAGACTGCTAATGAGGACCCTAACCCAAAAAAAGTCAAGAACCTCTACTTTAAGGACTGAAACCAGGCAGAGAATATCTGCAAATGCTTTACGGACTGGCCCTCATTGACCAGTCACCCTCATAATTATATAAGATCTGGGAATGCCTATGAAAACGAGTCACTAGTTTTCCTTTTTATCTAAACAGATGAATGGAATCGGAAGACTCGAACATTTTTCAGGAGCAGTATATGAAGGAGAGTTCAAGGACAACATGTATCATGGAACAGGGACTTATACATTCCCAAATGGAGCAAAATACACTGGAAGTTTCGTAGAAAACAGGTGAAATTTTAAAAAATCAAATATTCTAGTTAGGCCATATTATTACTGCTTTTTCCTTTCAGAGTTGTTATTGTCCAGTTGTGTCTGACTCTTTGTGATGCTATGGACTATAGCATGCCAGTACTATCCATGGGGTTTTCTTGGCAAAGATACTGGAGTGTTTGCCATTTCCTTTTCTAGTGGATTAAGGCAAACAGAGGTTAAATGACTTGCCCAGGGTCATACAGCTATTAAGTGTCTGAGGTCACATTTGAACTCAGGTCTTCCTGACTCCAAGCCTAGCCCTCTATTCACTGAGCCACTTAGCTGCCTTTCAGAGTAGTTTGTTTAAATATCACACTTACATAAAATATAATCTTTTAAAATAAATTTGGTTTCTAAGCATTGTTAATCTTATTTGAGAGAAGACCAAAATGAGAATTGTGCTTTGGGTTTCCGAAAGAAAATGCACTTTAAATTCAATTTCTTTCATTTTAATTTCTTTACTTATTATTTATTCGTTCCTTCTATGTTCAGTGCAGAACTTTTTTCGTTATGAATCTGACCTGACTTTTTTTTTCAGGTTTTCCCTTTCTTCTTTTGCATTGATGCTTAAGTCTGAAGTAAAGTTAGCCTTACTTCTAACTCCTTACATGACATCAGGAAAATTACTTAAACTTTTTGTACTTTAATTTCTTTATCTATAAAATGGAGGTAATAATACTTAACCTACTTGGAGAGTATTATGGAGATCAAATGAGATAATATCAAGAGAACACACTGAAAAAATTAAAAATCTGTGTGTTGAATGATAAATATGATACTTAAAACTTAAAGGCACTTTAACTGTATAGATGTCCACGTAGACATGGAATGTGGGAATTGGAGTCAGGAAGAACTGGGTTCTAATCTCCCAGTTCTGTTCTGTTACCTCCTGATTGCCGCTGGCCACTTCCCACCCTTAATCCTATCTAGATTCAGTTCTCCCTTGGCCATGTGGTCCAGGTCCCTGGTGTTCTGTTCACCCCGGCTTCCTGGCCACTCCCATCCAGATCCTCCTTAGGCCCTTCCTCTAGTCACCCCAGACTACTTGGCCACTCCTGGGTCCCTCCTACAGTCTTTCTGTTTATAAGATTCGTCTCGTCTCCATTAAAGTGCTCAGATTCTTAAAATCTGGCCCTCTTGTATTAGTGATACAAATGCTTAGATTCCTTGAGTCTGGCCAATATGGCAGATGTTCTAATAAACCTTGTCTTTGGCTGGAAAAAAAAAAAGAACTGAGTTCAAATTCCACCTCTGACACTTACTTGCCATGTGACTACGAGCAAGTCACTTAACCTCTCTGGGCCTCAGTTTCCTCATCTATAAAATTCGAGTTGTACTCAATGACCCTCTAAGGTCCCTCCCATCTCTAAGTATATGGTTCTGTGATCCATATGATGGCTATTTGTAGAGGGATTGTCCTATTCTTTTGGAAATAGAGTGAGATAAAATATAATGAGATAAAACATAATGAGATAGTGAGACAAAATAATGTATAATGTGCTATTGAAATTAGGAGCAAATTAGGTTAAACTAGTACACTTGGGCAAGTGATAGACTTGCAATTTAAAGAAGCATGAAAAAAACAGTAAAACCAGCAACACTCATTTGTGAGATGTAGATGGATTCAATTTGTTTTGATGTTTGCACATGTTTCATACGTGTTCTCTAGAGTGCAGCAGCATAGTAGGTATTTGTTAGAATATAATTAATGATTTCATTTTGTCATATTTAGCTTTTCAGGAACAGTTCTCTGCTAAGCTCTTCTTCTATTGGTTATGCCTGTGTGTACAGCTCATATGATATAGAAGATTTGTGCAGTTTTCTGAGTAATTCAGATAAAAAACACTTTCACCTAAAATATTCTGATAATTGAGGGCAAAGTGATTTTTTGAGGTTTCTACAAACTTTTCATTTTACTTTATCAGGTTCCTGTGTGGCTATGGCAGGTGATGGCATTTTTTTTAATCTGTTGAAAAGACATGAGCAAAATAAGTTAGATTACAAGTTATAAAAATGGGACATTTTAAAGTATATATTTGCTATGGAAAAATAGCAAGTTTTAAAAGAGCAGGGTTCTTTTCTACTAGGCAAACTCTCACCTCCAATCTTATGGCAACCTATTGGAAAGAGAGCGGTTCAAGCCAGCTTTGGTGAAACCAAATATCTTAATTTTTTTTTAAATTTAAGAAAATCCCTTTAAATGTTTTCATAATGAAAAGAATATTTAGGTGAACCCATGGCCCAAGGACTGCTTTTTCACGAACCGGGTTAAATCTTGGGAACATCTCTCGTATAAATCTCTATTTGGCTTATGCTCCCATGTCGGGATTTCCCCTGGGAGCATCACTATTTAGCTCATGACTAGGTCACCATGACAAAAGGAAAAAGTCCCTTAGGTCTTTGGCCGCACTCCAGCTGCTTTAAATGTAGTGCAAGCATTATTTAACTTGACAAAGCTCACAAAAGAAGGGACTTGCACAAACAGTTAAAACCACTTTTATTAGCTCTGTAGTTAGCCTCCACAGCCCCCAAGGGATAGCATACTTTGCTGGGACTAAGGGCCTTGCACAGGGGAAGCACCCAGGTCACTAGAAAGTCAAGCGGCCCTCCTCCACAGTGAGTCCCAGGGGATTCCGCAGGGACTGACACAGTCCTCCAGATTTAACACAGATGGTTAAGACTCCCAGCAAAAGGGTAGCATTCTGGCATTGCAAGAAAGTCTATTCTTTCCTCCTAGATCCTCCCAGAGAAGGGTTCGCTCGTCCCCGTAGTCTCCTCAGCTCTACCTGGGCTGCTTTGTCCCAGTGCTCCCTCCTTGGTCTAGGACTCTTCCTGTTCTCAACCGGAGGTTTGTAGCCCAGGACCTCCTCCTCTGGATCCGGAAGAGTTGCTCTTTGAATTATTCTGCCTGCCCAGGAACTCCTCTCTGCTTCCACTGGCTCACTGGCTCCTGTTTCTGTAGCTCAGAGAACTCCTTGCCCTTCCTACCGTCTCCACTAGTTGGGCTGCCTGGGTCTCTCCTCTCCTGAAATTATGTGGTTCCTTAGAGAAGGGCCACTGTCACGTGCAGGCCATGCAGGCTTCCCCCAAGGAAATCACTGTGTATCACTGACTTCTTTTCTAATTGGCTCAGCTCTGATGCTCTGTTTCTGTCCATAGCTTTCTAGACCTCATTTCAAAGACTAGTCCAAGGGTATTTGATCAGCCATAACTCAGTCTCAACCTCGGATGTGATGTGGAAGGACCCAGAATACCCAGGACAAATTGAGTTTATACTTTACCATGACTTAGATGAGTTCATATTATCAAGAGGATTTTACTACTTGTTAAGGAGACACAAGAAGGATTCAGGATTTTCTCTCCTCTGCCCACCCCCAACCCTCCCATTAGGTGGCCAAGTTACTGGCTGCAGACTCAAGAGAGAGCTAACCTTCAGTTCCCAGGGTCTGCTCCTCTCTACAGCTCTTCATTGCCAGACGAGATGCTGCTCCTGTGTTCATACTCTATATTTCTGGCTGTCTGTAGTGTGCCTTGAGCTCTTTCTAGCTGCCTTTTCCTCCAGCTGACTCTCTGATGAGCTGGTTCCTGGATGAATAGCGCTGATGCTACATACCTTTGGGGCTGGGCCAGGAGGGGGGAAGGGGAGAGAAGCTTAGTTCTTTAGCTGCCGGCTCCTGCTCCTGAACTGCTGCCTTTTCAGGGCTTGGCTGTTTGAAATCCTGCAAGGATTTGTCCCATTGTTTGATCATTTAATGAAATCCTTTCTTCTGACTAAATCAGAGCTGTATTCATACTTTAAGGGATAATAGGGTATTAACACATCAGAAACTCATTAGCTGTCTATATCCCATTTATCAGCTATGCTGAGGGACAAGGGGCTGGCTGGAATAAAATCCTGGAACCCTACACTAACCTCATGCTTTGATATCAGGCCAGAGTTTGAAACAGGAAAGAAACAAATGTCTGGCGTGCATCAGTTACCCCAGCAGTGCCTTATTCATCAGGTAAACAGATACTTCTGAACAGAGTATGTCATATTAACCACCTTACATTTTTACTGTTTCAGAGTGGAAGGTAAGGGAGAATATACTGACATTCGTGGATTGGAATGGAGTGGTACCTTTCATTACACAGCTGCCGGGGCTGAAACTAAAGCTACAGATGTAGGTCTCTAAACTAAAGTAATAACATTCAAGTTGATGTTAATCTTAAGCAATTATGGCCAAATGTTTCCCTTAAAAGTTTCATATGCTACTTACTGTACTGTGAGTTATCCAATAAAATCATCCATCCATTTCTCTATTTGCAACTTTATTTTCAGAATTTAAGAGATAGTTTAAAATAAATTCTGAGAGTGTTCCCATCAGTTAAGGAATGGCTGAAGAAATTGTGGCATAAGAATATCAGGGAATGTTGCACTATAAAAATGGACAAATATGAGCAATTCAGAGAACCCTGGGAAAACATAGATGAATTAACAAAGTGTGGAAAAAATAGAAATGAGAACAATATATATATATATCTTTAAAAGCATGAATGAACAAAACATATTAATTGGGAGAAACATTTTTAAAAGTTGCCAGAAGCCTAACTTGAAGCAGCCCATTCTAATAAACCAAATGCATAACACAGGGGAGAGCTATTTCTTAAAATTTCTGTGTGGTCTTGGGAAAGTCAGTTATCAGCTTGGGGCTTTTGTTTTCAATCCTGTGAAAAGGAGTGCATATACATCCTCAACCTAAAAAATGTGTAACCACAGAGAAATTCTGAAGATTAAGCACAGTAAGAACTGAAAAGTTCTTTTTTGTGTCAAAATTGTGTTTATCTACACATGTACACGTGTATATAAAACAATAGAATTTTAAAATGAGAGCAACTTATACTCACACTATCTGGCTGGATTCCCAGGGCAGGGCTGCTACATCTCCCTTCGGATTCTAAGGAGAGCCCTGAAGAGTTTTAGTATAGATTTTCATAGTGCCTGCAGGGCATATAGTAGGTGCTTAATAAATGCTCATTGATTAACAAGTAGGGAGAGATTATTGATTAGTTCAAACAGCCTCTACCCTTACATTTAACTACAAGAGAAAAGCGCATTACCAAATTATACTTACTCTTTGATGATTATTAAGTGGATTTGTGATCTCATTTTCGTCCATCAGTACAAATAATAGCCTATGTGAACATTCTGTGTGATTCTTAACCTTGTCTTTCTATAAATCCTCCATATATGCCAGGAGGAATCTGACAAGTAGGATAGCTTTTGAACTCATGTGTTGAATTTATGTATTTAGAAAGAAAAGTAGTTTTGTTCATAATCTACTTTTTCTCTTCTATGGATATATAGATGTTCATTTTATTTGATGTTTGTAAAGTTCATAATAAAAAAATTCTAAAAAACAAGTAATCCTCCATATATCATCTTACTTTGTTGTAGATCTTTATTTTAATATTTCATAGATATGAATACAATACTTTAGCCATCCTTCCATTATCCTTTACTCCTACTAGGTAACCTGTCCACATCTTCTGTCTCTCTCTTCCCCCACCTCCTCCAGTTATACATGTCATTGATAATATCTATTATACATCTTTTTGGTAAAATCCTTGATCCTACTTAAGTCAACCTTTCACATTTCTGTTGTACGTTGGGTCACCTGTAATTTTGAGACTTTGGAGATCGTGGTGTTTCATGATTCATAGTCAAAGAGCACTATGGTGGTTTAAACACTGTTGGTGTTTAAAAGATGGGATATTGTGGCCAAGAGCAGTTTGGGACCATTGAGAATGCTGTGAAATTGGCCAAATGGGATCCAGCCCATTTTCTCCCACCTATTCAATTCCATGCAGCAACTGTCCAAGATAACTTCATGGATGGACTGACTCAGTGCCTAACTGCATGTCATAAACTGGGCAATAAATGTTTCTTAACACTCATTCTGTGTTCCCAATGTTAGTGTCTTTGGTCACAGTCCTTAGCTCTCACTGAGGAAATTCTGCAATACCATGGACCTCAATGCAATCAACACAATAATATCTTATCAATAAAAACCTCTGAAAAACCTCATAATTGATAAGGAATACCTTCCTATTTAGAAATGACATTTATGTTTTTTAAAAAAAAGTTAGGGATTCTAAAAGGCAAAGGTGAGGAAAGCATTCATGCTAGATATTGGGGGACACCAAGTATAATGGCATTGAGATGGGAGATGGAATTTTGTGGGAGTTTTATTATTTATTTCTAACATTAATTTTAAAAAACTTAGTTCCAAATTCTCTGTCTCTAGCCCTTCCCGCACCCACTGAAAGCGCAAGCAATAATATAGGAGATGGAGGAACAGTTAAGCCAATTTGGCTGGGATGGACATAATAGGTGGTGGGGGGGAGTATATGGAAATTAATATGAAATAAATTGGAAAATTCGGTGGAAGTTATATATATTATATATTTTATCTTTGAGGAAAAAGTGAGTCACTGAAGATTTTTGAGTGGGAGAGGGACATGGTCCGATTGGTTTTTATTAATATCAATTTGATAATCATGTGGAGAGTGGTTTGGAGAGGAGAGAAACCAGAAGCAGGGAGCCAGCTTGCAAGATAAGGAGAAGAGAGTGGGACTTGATGAAATGGTGGCAATGAGTGTCAGCTTTTTATTATTATTTTTTTAAACCAGTTTGACTGTAGAATAGAGGAGTAATATAGAAAAATAGCTTGAGGGGATGGCTGAATCATGTGATGGTTTTTGTTTGTTTTTTTTCCTTTGGTTTGTCTTTGTTGTTTTTGGATGGAGGGATATGAATATATATGTAGGTGGTAGGGAAAGAGCCAGCAGCCAAGGAAAGATTGATGATATGAGAAAGGGGGCTAACTCCAGAAGAGATGGGAAGGGATGAGATCAAGAACACAGTTGTAGCAGTTAGCCTTGGCAAGGAGAAAAACCATTTTTCTCTCAGAGTTTGGAGTAAAGGGGGAAGAGTAGGACCAGTAAAACTTTAGCTGTTACAATGCTTTCCATTTCTTTGTTATTTCTATAAATCTTGTTATGTGTATACATATATGGCTTTGTTTCTCAGAATTTTGTAACTGCAAGTGTCATCCTTCTTCACTTTATAATCCCCAAATATAAATGACTCATTATCCCTTGGTATAGAATATATAATTGATATGCATGCATATATTCTATCTATCTATCTATCTATCTATTATCTATCTATCTATCTATCTATCTATCTATCTATCTATCTACTTATAAATTAGATCTTAGTGCCGTTGTTAGAATCTTTGTGTATTGGAAGTTTACTCCCTTCTGTGGAATCTGAGTGAAGGTTACTTCATGTATAGCATTCTAAAAGGAAAAAAATGAAACATTAATACCTCAATAAATCCTTTGATTCTTGAGAGAATGACCCAAAACCCATCAAATTATGGGTGATAGGGATAACATTCTTCTTGAATTTGCTAGACAATTGGCATTTGTAATTGTTATTTGTCCCTTATTTTTGCTATCACCCTTAAAATCATCTGAGGTCTCTCTCTCCCACTCATTTAACAGTGTCAAGTGGACCCATGACATTACAGATAAGAGCCTTTTTATCCCCCTTGTTAGCAAATCTTAGGAAAATCAGGGAGCATTTCAGTCCCTTGTTGTCATCCCATTCTACCAATACTATGCTCCAATGCTATGCCCAAAGCATTGATCTGGAAGTGTAGTTAGCTCCCCATCAATCGCTGTCCTAGAAACTCCATAAAGAAGGGAGCATCTCCAGCATATATCAGAAATGAGACTTTTCCTCCATAAAGAGGGAAAACTGGAAAGCCATTTTGGAGCTGTCACATCATCCCAGTCTGGGGAACTGCTACATGATCTCTCCAGTCTGGATGCAGAATTGGAAGTCCCCCCTCCCATTGTCAGATGATTATAAAGAGTTTCTTCAAACAAATTTAATTTAACTCTTAAGCCTTGTGTATGAGTTTCTTTTTCTTCTCCCTAGGGCTGATGCCTGGGTTACTACATAATCTCTCAATTTGTAGAGCCATTTGGGACAGGTAGAGGAATTGAAATGAGTAGGAGAAACTGGTGGTCTCCTTGTTTTTATGCCAGTTGCTGTTGGGAGCAGTTCTAATTTAGGCTGCAGAATAAGAAAGATGAGTTTTGAGGTGTGGAGTAGAGGAAATAAGGAAGCCTACAAGACATGGCTTTTTCCCCCCAGTAAAGTAGAATGGAAGGTTCTATGCTAAGAGGGAAAGTGGAGGAATGAGCATAGGAGGCTTGAGGAGAAGGGAGAAAGTCTGGAATAGTTGCTATGGTTAGAGTCAATCAGGGAAGAAGAGGATTGCTAGACAGCAGTGAGAGTCCAGTTAAGATTAGACAACATGAACTTGAAGTGAGTCCAGTTGGCACAGTTGTGTCTCTATTCATCAGTATTCTGCAGCAGGTAAATGTGGATTGGGAAGGCAGATTGGGGAGGGGGAAGAGAGAAAACCAGGGTAGGAGTCTGACAAAGCATTATTGGTGATAGTACAATAGGGCAGGAGGCAGGAGATTCAAATGTAGCTGTTAGTGTATACCTGAACTGTTTAATAATGTGGTTGAGATGGTAAAAGGAAGCTAGCTGCATGATGAATAGGTAGAGAGCTGAACTTGGACTTGGGAGGACCTGAATTAAAATGCTGACTCAGACACTTACTAGCCATGTAACCTTGGGCAAGCCACTTCCTCTCTAGGCCGCAGTTTCTTGGTCTGTAAAATGAGGATGATAATAATACCTACCTTATATCTTTGGTGTAAAGATCAAATGAGGTAATATATGTATAGGTCTTTTCAAACCTTAAAGCAATATATAAAATATTAGCTATTATTATTATTAGCTATTAAATGAGAGCAATGCAAGGGTGATGGATTGGGTTACCACGGTTGAGTGAAATCACAGTGAGGAGGAACGATAGGGTTAGGAGTAGTGGGGCAGAATTCTAAAGAGTAAGTAGATGGCTATGACTGAAAAGAAGAATTTCAGAGTTCTGAATCCTGGAAATGGATAGCTATGGGTGCTGGTTAGATTAAGGTTGTAATTATCCCTTTGTGTGGTCAATGTCAAGGGAAGATGGAAATTGTTAGAGTTTAAGAGGTTGATGCACCTGGTTGTTTAAGGTGGTATTAATGTTTTCTTCCCAAATTCTTCATATTCATCATTAGCATCATAGTATAATCATATTCCGTTAATTAATATATCACAAGGGTGGTGTTTGAGCATAGGACCTGGCCCCTTATGGTTCTGGCCCCTTCACTCATTATACTTTACCATGAAGTTTGTTCAGCCATTCTCCAATTATTAGGCACATAGCTTTTTTCTTATTTAAATAGTGCTGTTATGAATATACATGCACATATGTTTGTGTATATTTGCATATGTAGTGTATACACACAAACACACATCTATCTTTTCCTCTTGTCAATTATCTCCTTGAGTTATAAACCCAGTAGTTAGATTTCTGAGTCCAAGGATATGCACTATTTCTTGCAGAATTCTACCTTATTTTCCAGAATGGTTGGACCAATTCACAGCCTCACCAGCAGCGAATTAGCGTGCCTGTCATTTCACAGGCCTTCCAGCATTAAATTTTTCCATCTTTGATGGGTGTGAATAGATTCCTCAGAGTAGTTTCAATTCTCATTTATCTGCCTACTAGTGCTTTTGAATAATTTTTCAGATGGTTGTTGATTAGGTCATGCTTTTTCCTTTGAAAACTATTCATATGCCTTGTCCACATATCACTTAGGGAATAGTTCTTAATTAGTAAAGCAATCTTTATGAAAATTAGCAGTGTTTAGAATTTCTTTGGAAGAAAATATAAGCTGTTACAGTATCTTTATCAGTTAAAGCTTATTTCCTCTGGGAGATAAAGCACATTATTAGGCGTTAATAGAATCACAGTCTTTGCACAGAAATTGATCTTGGAAATTATATTGTGGACCCTTCTCCCCCTTCCCCATTTTATAAATATGGGAAACTTGGGCCCAGAGAGTTTAAATGACTTGCCCAAAATTACATAGGTAGTGGGTAGCAAAGCCAGATTTTTCTGGCTCCATAGCTAAGACTAATTTCCACTATACCACAGTACTGAATTAATATTATGTATTATCATTGTGGTAGGCACTCCAAGGGAAAAAAGTCAGGGTGACTAAAAGAAAGTATAACAAAATTCCAAGAGATATAAAGATGTAAAGAATTGTATCAACATTTCAAAATCATGATTTATAGAGAAATAATTACATTGAAACAAGTTTCATTTTTCTTTGTATTTTGCTTCTCAATGTCACCTTTTCAAATTGACTTTTCCTTGAAAATACCACCCTACCAAAGTAGTTGCTTTATACAAGAGCACCAGAGGAGGAAAACATATTTT